CAGTCAATGTACAGGATTTCCTGTGTAGGTTAAAAAAAAAAAAAAAAGCATGTTTTTCTTACATAATAGAGCTGGGTTTGGTAATGGTTGCATTAGTTTGAGTCTGTCCTTTCATGTGTTACGTTTGCTGTATACTTTAAAAAAATCATTGTAAGTTGGTAGACAGAAGTGAGCAGTTGAGACAAATGGAAATACATACATTATTTGCTTGAGATAATGTGTGTGGCAATTTGGCTGCAACTAACAATTTCGATTCTGAGATGAATTTACTTTTTGTTTGCAAAAGTTCTGGCAACAGTGCTAAGATGGTGAAAGCTGTTAAGATTACAACATATGGATTTGAAAAGTAATCTGTTTCAACCACATCAAATAAAAAGCTATTGGCATTTCCACAACAGTACCTGCTCAAAAACTGAGCTCTGACTGAAATCTTGACCCCTGCTTCTACAGCATTCAGCAAAAATAAATGACTTGGCAAATTAAATGCCAAGCTCAGTTGCTTACATAGCTTCAGGTATGTATAAATAGCTGTAGAATGGTGCTACCTGGTTTCATATGTTAAAGTCCTTTTTGACAATATCATAATACATGTTTTTGTAATGGACGATTTTTCTGAGCTTTTCTTTTGCTCCCATTAACAAGTATATATGAGAGAACATACAGAAGTTGACCTTTACTGATATTAAATAGGAAATGTCCATTCCTTCTCAAAATTAATGGAACTCTTGTTTTTAACTGCTCTATTTATATCTCACCCACTTCACATATGGAAAGGTCAAGTCTCTTGTGTTATAGACTCAGCAGCTCAGTCATTTAATGCTAATTGTGATAGTGAGATGCAAGTAAGCATTGTGTAGGGATGTATGCATTGTGTGGGTATGAGCCAGGTGAGGTTCAGAGTAAATCTGCTGTGTTTGTTATGTACAAGCTAAGTAGCCATGTCAACCATAACGGCTTATTATTTTGGTCTCAGCGTTGCACTAGCATGTCTAGACTTTACCAGAACAGGCTAGTAGGCTTACAAAGCATTGTTTTGCACCCTCTGCATTACCATAATGTTCACATCATAGCCTTTTTTGTACTGTGCATGGAAAGAAGGAAGACAAATCTTTTAGGAATAAACAGTTTGACACCCCTAGGAAAAGATCAATCATGATGAGTCTGGTTGTAATGACTGCTTCTCCTACTTCCATTATCTAAATGTCAGACTGACAGGTCTGTTTTCTTCTATTATTTCTCTATTCCTGAGAATATATACGTATATGTATGTATCTCTCACTGGAAGCATTTATCACTGAAAATCACTTTAGTATTAAGGCTTATCAGGGTTTCAACACAGAAGGGTCTGTTCTTTTGTGTTTGTCCTAACTGTCCTGCCTTACGTATTACTTGCACTAGCAGCCCAAGCTGATTGTGCCCCTTGCATATCTTACAACTAACTTATTTGTTTGCTGTGTCCCTCTAAAGTAGACTACAGATACAGTTTTGAAAACAAAAACCTCCTTGGAAATAAACAGCTTTGTGCTATCTCATTTATTTTCTGATGTACATTCCAAAATAGACCTATTTCTAACTGCATAAGAGGTGTGTTTTTTTTCCTGCTTGATGACTGACTAGTGCTGTAGTTGATATTCACCTGACTGTGTAAGTACAAAGGCAAGACAAACTTTAATTTCTGTGCCAAGAAACCTGGAACTAAAGCTCCTAACCTTTCTCCGCTGATTATTGTAACTTCATACTAGTGAAATCTGTGGGTCTGAATAAAAAAAACTCTAAAAAAACCTTTCTCTTATTTCTGTAAAAGGAACCATTAAATTTGCAGTGGTCTCTCTTCAGAGTGATTACTAGATTAAAGATCTGCTGTAAGTGAGCCCGCAGTCATTGAGCAGAGTGTTTTCCAGCTATGACCTGAGAAAGACAATGCTTTCCCTGTTAGTGGCTTGGCTTTGCTACTTCCCCTGGGGAGCTACTAGCACAGCTTACAGGAAATGAACTTGCAAAACATTTGTAAGGATTTGTTTCCTAGGATGGGTAATCATGTAGAATGTGTCTTTCATTGATGGTACATGCCTCAAAAAGTGTGAAAAACTTACTCTCGAATACTAGGCAACTGTAACTGAGGGTTTAGGCTTTTTTATGTTTGGCTGTGACTACAGGAAAAACAGTGCATAAGGATTCTTCTCCAGCAGCAATAAACCAAGCATTAAGATAACACTACAAGAAATGAACAACATTTTCTTTTATATCTTCCATCTGGTTTAAGGCAGATCATCTAAGTTCTGTGTGTAGTCAGTGAGTAGAAGGGAATGCTTTCAGATGTCCTCAGGTTTTTCTCACTGCAATGAGTGAGCTGTTCCACCTCTCCTTCTGTATGCTCATTATGCTGGAAAAACTCCTGGAGTGGCCTACATTTGCCCTTGCAAACTGAGAGCAAGCAGGCTGTGATTGTGAGTATCTCTCACTTAAGTGCTTCAAATGTGGTACAGCCAAGTCCAGATCTATTTCCAGAAATATTGGGACATCAATATAAAGAGAACAGAATTATAAGAACAAGATAGACTTCGGAAAGTGTGCTAAATTTTAAGAATACTTGTTCAAGAAATTACATGTGTTAGATTTGATAGTATTTTTAACTGCCTTTATCTAACTGTTGGCACATTCATAACCATTTGGTCTTATAGGCATTCTGTATTTTTAAACCCTAAAGGCTGGGTGAGACTTTGAGAATTTTAGAGGATCATTGTATGTCTGAAATGTGACATTTCTTTGCAGATCTAATATCCAGTTCTGCAGTATCCTTTCATCAAAGTTAATAATAGTTATACAAAAAGGTCTGGAGAGAGTATCCTATTCACCTGTTAAAAATATTTCAGATAAGAGTCCCAAATATAAACACAACTATTGACAACCCACTCACTATAGGCAAATAATATGAGACTGATGTGTGTCTACCTGTGCACACAAACAGACACACACTTACATACACATAATGATGACTAAATAAAATAAATAAATTTGCAATGAAAACCTTATCTACCAAAGTTGCACATTGCCAAGTTTGTCTTTCATCCTGCTAAGGTTGATGAACTTGATAATGCTCAAGCAGATCTATGAATCTGCACTATTTTTCACTAAATGTATTCAGTTATGTCAATTTGTAACACTCCATGATATTAGTTTTAGCAAGTAAGAAGATAATCAGGTGCATTTGTTTCACTGATGTAGGATATTAAGAGATGTCTTTGCTTGGGTTTCAATTTTTTATTTTGTCAATTGTGAAATACAGGAAATATCTTGGAAGCAGAAGAGAAAAATCTTTTCTCCAAATCTTCCAATTTAACTTTTAAGTATAATTCCAAAATACTTATTAACTGATAGTTTCTCAGATGAAGTTTTGGCTTACTAATAACTGAGTAACTACATTATATTACTTCTGGTTAGTTTTAAATTCCTATTTTACATTGTTATTTTTTCTATCAAAATAAATAAATTATCTCCACAGAGGAGATTGTTGCCATGCACTGTGTAGTCAGTCAGATTGTTCTCAAATACTTCAGAAAAACATAGGTATTTTGTCTGTCTGGTTATCCTACAAGTCCCTCCAAAACCTTCAAAATACTACTCTTCGCAATATTTGGCTTTATTGAGCTCAGTTGTAGTCCAAAGCAGGTTCTTCAATTCCAAAACTTTTGTTCCATTGTAATAGAAGCCATGGGCTTTGCAAGATACAAAAAATATTCAGTAAATTTGACTGAATTATGGAAATTGCTTACCATTATAAAGCATTTATGTCTCCTTCTTTAGGTATTTTGTACCTGTTCTGTGTGCTAGGCATAGATCTGTAGAACCATAATATTTTCCAGTAATTTTCTTTGAATTATTTCTTTTCTTTTTGTCTATTGATGAAGGGGAAACATTCCTAGTGCCACTGATAGAACGCTGATTGACTGCTATGATCTTTGTCAACTTAAGTTGGGCTGGTATTTTCAAGCACATTTGTGGTATTGTAACCTCATGATTATAATAAATTCTTACTAGGCAACATAAGAAAATTGTGATGAAATACAAAGAGAATTTGTGTAGGTGTTCAAATTACATCCCAGGTATTGGGGAAAGCAGGTAAGATTCATGATGCTCAATGGGAAAAATTGAGGCACTGACCGTGTGTGCTTACTCTTATATGTTAGAAACAGGAGTCGAAGCACTAGGAAAGGAAAGCTGATATACATGCAGGATGAAACTGGGCTATGTTTTTAAGCCCAGTTTCTTTGTGAAATTGCTGTGGGTAGAAAAACTGGAAAATGGAGGTAAAAATGAGGATAAACAATATGTCTGTTGAGTGAGATAACACTTAACCTCCTTTGCTTTTTGCTGTTCTTATAGACTGTGGAACTTAAATATTAACGTAAGAGACTATTCATATTCCAGTTTACATGAAATAAGATTGATTTTGTTTTAAATGCTAGATGTGGGGGAACTAAAATGAAGTATTTGCCACTTTGGTTAGCTAGAAAAAAAATTCCAAAAGCAGCTCCAGTTATGTATCATGTTCCAGTCTGGTTTTACCAGCAGTAATCTATGAGAACATTCAAGTTAAGATTTCATTATCTATATTCACCTTTATCTGTTTGCACCAAAATGAAAAATGCAAGGAATTTTCTGGCTTGTGCACAGGACTCAGCTCAAATAAGTTTAATGAGATAACACATTTGATTGTGCACACAGATTCATACCTCTGCTGACACACAAAGTTGGAACTCTGGGAGGCAAGAAAAGGAGCACAGCGCTTGTGTAACAACAGCTGTCCCAACACAGGCAAACCAATACTTGAAAAGAAACCAAAAATACCTAGAAAAAAATCTAAACCTAAAAAAAAAGCTTTATTTCACTTACTGAAAAGTGTGAAGCTCTCTCCATTGTCTAGTGTGTATTTTATGCTCTCTTGTTACTGTCTATGTATGATAAAGAAACATTTATGGACATTATTCTTCTCTCACCAGAACCAGTATTCTACTTTGGAAATGATGAATATTACGTTGATGAGAGTGCTGGCTATATTGAGGTAAATGTCTGGAGGACTGGAACTGATCTGTCTAAAGCTGCCTCTGTTACAGTGAGGTCTCGCAAATCTGAACCAGTAACTGCAGAGGGTAAGTTACTGTTTTGCTTTAGCTTCATAATACCCCTCAACAACAAATGCTGGTATATTTGTTCTTGATACAGATTCACCTACATAAGACGAAATTTATATGTGTCTTGCTTTTAGCAGATCTTTCTTTTTAGAACAAATTAAGTAGTTATGGAATTTCTCTCGAAGTTAGTAGGAACAATTGTGAAGTAGAGCACTAAGAGAAATGGGGGGGGAGAATATATTTCCTTATAGTAAAAATCTTAATTCATTGTGCTAGGACCTCTAGTATTCAAAACTGGGAATGGCACAGCTCTTGGGCGCTCTAGTCTGTTGGCCACAGCCTGAAAGCTCTGACATGGCTGGCTGCCTGTAAAGCCATAAGCCTAGTTCTTGGTCTTACACAGTGCTGTGCTGGGCTGCCAGTCCTGACATCCTGCTTTAGAGGCTAAGCTCTGAGGTGTAGAAGAAGCAGGAACTCTAGGCAAGTGCTTTTCTGATGATGGCCTTTAGCCTTGGCAAATTCACAGAATTCCAAACCTTATTTCAATTTCAGTTTCAATGAAACTGTGTCCCCCAAAGCTTTGTTTTAACAGTTCTGCTCCTTATTCCTCCAAACCCCCCCCCCCAAACATTAAGTCCTAATCCTTTACTAAATTCCTAGATGCCTTTAATGCTTTGGTTCCAAGATAAAGTGTCATGTTTAGGTGGTATCTTGTTTTGTTAGCTTTCTTCTCACTGGTTTGTTATGGATTAGCTTGCTTTGGTTTAAATAGCAAATAAACAACCAACCAACAACAATAACAACAAACATAAGAGCAAACCAAACCCAGATGCCAGATGAGTCTGTCTTTAACATTAAGTTGCCAGATCTCACCTGACATGGTCTGAGCAGAATTTATTTCTTTTGGTTTCCATTCATTCTGGTTTACACAACTCCTCTAAATAGGAGTTCTTCCTCACAATCAGCTCACTGGCTTTTTCTCCTTGCCTTTTTACATTAGTCTCAAAACTTCTACCTTTGTTACAGAACAATATTAAATTTCTTTCCAAAAGACTTTGCTTCATCTCCAAAGCTTTTTGCTTGCTTTAATTTCTTACTTAAGACACATTTTATTAGTTTTACTGGAATAACTGTTGGTTTACAACAGAACAGAATCAGCCCCATTTTGTGACTTGAATCACTATACAAAAAGTAGCTTAATATCGACTTGTTGTATTCTATAGTCCAACTTACGGATGGTCAATATTATTTAAAAAAATACATTCACCTACAATTGACTGCCTAATGATAGGTATTTTTATTTTTCATTACATGTAATTCTGTTTATTAATTTGATATGGTTTACCTTTTTTCTGTTGGTAGCTGGAGTAGATTATGTAGGCATCAGTCGTAATTTGGATTTTTCCCCTGGAGTCAATATGCAGACATTTCGTGTGGTAATTATGGATGACCTTGGACAGCCAGTGTTAGAAGGAACTGAGAAGTTTGAGCTTGTGCTAAGGATGCCCATGAATGCTGCCCTTGGAGAACCCAGCAAGGCCACCATCTTCATTAATGACTCAGTGTCTGACTGTGAGTAATCTTTTTTTTTTTACCTTTTCACATTTATGCAGGGGATAGCACTTATCCGTTTGAATCACAGTGAAGCCAGTGAGTCTACATGTTTCAGCTACAGTTGATGTGTTATGTAATTTGTTGTCTACCTGTTTATATTATATATCTAGTGCACTGTGGTTTACCTAAATTTGAAATAGTAGCAGGGAGATATGATAACTTTTTCAGTTGTACTTTACACATGCTTTTTCATGTTTTTCTGCCCAGTACCTAAGATGCAGTTTAAAGAATCTGTATATATAGGCAATGAAAATGATGGACAGATTTCTGCCATGATATATAGGAGTGGGGACATCCGATACACATCCACTGTGAGATGCTATACAAGGCAAGGCTCAGCTCAAGTAATGATGGACTTTGTAGAACGTCCTAATACTGACAGTTCCATCATCACATTCCTTCCTGGTAAGCTTTTGGTCTGATTTTAGAAGCCTTTTGTCTACCATGTTTTGTTTCATTTTGCTTTGCTCTGTCTGTTTGTTTTGTTTTGTTTTAATTGTGTCTTCTTGTAAAGTCGTGACAAAAGGACCACTCTGGAAAACCAAGCCTTTTCAATATACAATGGGCAGAGTGCACAAAAATGATGTCTCTTTTTGCTTCACGTCTGACCTAGAGGGATAACCAATAGGAACCAAAGGAACATATCTTCATATAGATTCAGCCTGAGTGCCAGGATCTTTTTGGTAGCAAAAGCAGGCTCACCGTAACACAATATCAGAAGCACAACCTGCTGTCAAAAAAGAAACTTCAGAAGCTCTGCTCTTTGTTAAGCAGATTTCTGGTAAATACATTTAACTCACACTGAAATAGAAACTTGTCTTAGAAAAGTCCCAAAATGGGGGATTCCACTTCAATGAATTTCAGTGAAAAGGTAATGATTACTAATTCTGCTTTCACTATTATTATTACTCATTAACTTATACAATGTCAAGGTAGATGCTTTCACCAGCAGAAGCAGCCTGTGGTTCCTTGAGTTTGGAGAGAAGTGCTGTAATAGAGCAAAGAACAGCTAGGTTCTGCATGATATTACCTTCAGAATTATTGCAGGTGAAACTGAGAAGCCTTGCATATTGGTGCTTATGGATGATACTTTCCATGAAGAAGAGGAAGAACTACGTTTGGTTCTTGGCACTCCAAGAAGTGATTCTTCCTTTGGTGCCTCTATTGGTGAACAAAATGAGACGCTGATAAAGATTCAGGATGATGCAGACAGTAAGAAATTATTTTGTTATTACTGGCTTCTGGAAGTCTGTTTGTGCACTCTAAAAACATTTTTCTTCTACTTACAGAGTCTATTATTAAGTTTGGTGAGACCAAATTTAGTGTGAGTGAACCAAAGGACACAAGGCAAGTAGCAGTTGTAAAAATCCCAGTGCTTCGTCTGGGAGACACTTCAAAGGTTTCTGTTGTAAGAGTTCATACAAAGGATGGATCTGCTACTTCTGGAGAAGACTATCACCCTATATCAGAAGGTAGGATCATTCAGATGATTTTAACATCCTACCATTTGCTTTTATTCTATGACTATATATTCATGACTATAACAAAATATCTGAAAGATGAAATAACTATGAATAGAATACTTTGCAACTACATCCGTTTTGCCATACAAATTCAGTATGGGCATTATCCCATGTGGTACGCCATGCCAAATTCCTCTTTGTATACTAGATATCAGTGAAGATATTTACAAAATAATTGTGGCTCCTTTAAAAACATCTGCAGCTCAAGTTAACTGTGGAAGAAATGTGTGAGTGCCACCTTTGTAACATTTGCAAAATGTAACACCATTACTCTGTAGAAGCATCCGCTCATAGGATATGATTGTATAGTTGTTTCTCAAGCAGTTCATTAAGCAAATGGCTTTTGCTTTCTGTAGGAATTAATGTTTATTTCTTTTTATTTTTCTACTTTCATAATAATCAATTTTTCTTTATATATCTGCAGTTCACTACATGCTGCTTCTTACTACTAATGAATGCGGAGAAAAATTGTGTAACAGAATGAGAAATTTCTTAGCTGATAAACTTCTTTCCATTAAATAGCCCACCCAAATGGTTCAGTAAATGACTGAGTTTGTAGCACTGTGAATTTTTTTCATATGAAATTTGTGGTGATACATGATACTAATGTGTCTTTTAAGATTAATCATTAATTGCTGGAGTGTTTTCAGTCTTGGATAAACTATTTCTTCCTGGAAAGAATACAGGGATGCTGCCCAGGAAGCTAGAGACCAAGTTAGGAAAGCTAAGGCCCAGTTAGAATTAAACTTGGCTACGGATGTTAAAGATAACAGGAAGGGCTTCTATAGGTACATAGGTACATAGAATCATAGAATAATTAGGGTTGGAAAGGACCTTAAGATCATCTAGTTCCAACCCCCCTGCCGTGGGCAGGGACACCTTACACTAAATCATATCGCCCAAGGCCTCGTCCAGCCTGGTCTTGAACACTGCCAGGGATGGAGCATTCACAACCTCCCTGGGCAACCTATTCCAGTGCCTCACCACCCTAACAGGAAAGAATTTCCTTCTTATATCCAATCTAAACTTCCCCTTTTTAAGTTTTAACCCATTACCCCTTGTCCTATCATTGCAGTCTCTAATGAATAGTCCCTCCCCAGCATCCCTATAGCTCCCCTTTAGATACTGGAAGGCTGCTCTGAGGTCTCTATGCAGCCTTCTCTTCTCCAGGCTGAACAGCCCCAACTTTCTCAGCCTATCTTCATACAGGAGGTGCTCCAGTCCCCTGATCATCCTCGTGGCCCTCCTCTGGACTTGTTCCAACAGTTCCATGTCCTTTTTATATTGAGGACACCAGAACTGCACACAATACTCCAAGTGAGTTCTCACAAGAGCAGAGCAGATAAAACATAGCGGATAAAACATAGCAGATAAAAAACAGAGTAGGGACAATGTAGGCCCCCAAAGCATTCAACACCGTCCCACATGACATCCTTGTCTCTAAATTGGAGAGACATCAATTTGATAGGTGGACCACTCGGTGGATAAAGATCTGGCTGGATGGCTGGATGCAAAGATTTGTGGTCAATGGCTCAATGTCTGGCTGGAGACCAGTAACGAGTGGTGTCCCTCAGGGATCGGTGTTGGGACCAGTCTTGTTTAACATCTTCATCGGTGACATGGACAGCGGGATTGAGTGCACCCTCAGAAAGTTTGCCGATGACACCAAGCTGTGTGGTTCGGTTGATACCCTGGAGGGAAGGAATGCCATCCAGAGGGACCTTGACACACTTGTGAGGTGGGCTGATGCCAACCTCATGAAGTTTAACCATGCCAAGTGCAAGGTCCTACACCCGGGTCGGAGCAATCCCAGGCACAGCTACAGGTTGGGCAGACAAGAGATTGAGAGCAGCCCTGTGGAGAAGGACTTGGGGGTGTTGGTTGATGAGAAAATGAACATGAGCCGGCTTCAGTGTGCGCTCACAGCCCAGAAAGCCAACCGTATCCTGGGCTGCATCAAAAGGAGCGTGACCAGCAGGTCGAAGGAGGTGACCCTGCCCCTCTACTCTGCTCTTGTGAGACCTCACCTGGAGTATTGTGTGCAGTTCTGGAGTCCTCAACATAAAAAGGACATGGAACTGTTGGAACAAGTCCAGAGAAGGGCCATGAGGATGATCAGGGGGCTTGAGCACCTCCCATATGAAGATAGGCTGAAAAAGTTGGGGCTCTTGAGCTTGGAGAAGAGAATGCTGCATGGAGACCTTGCAGCAGCCTTCCAGTATCTGAAGGGGGCCTATAGGGATGCTGGAGACAGACTCTTCGTTTGGGACTATAGTGATAGGATAAGGGGTAATACGTGCAAACTTAAAAGGGAAAGTTCAGATTACGTATGAGGAAGAAGTTTTTTTCTGTGAGGGTGGTGAAGTACTGGAATGGGTTGCTCAGGGGAGCTGTGAATGCTCCATCCCTGGCAGTATTCAAGTCCTTGTTGGGCAGAGCCTTGGGTGACATGGTTTAGTGTGAGGTGTCCCTGCCCATGGCAGGCAGGTCGGAACTAGATGATCTTAAGGTCCTGACTGTTCTATGATTCTGTGATTCTATTCTGGTGTCCAGTCCAACTGATAGGACTTATTTTTGAACATCCAGCAACAACATTGGGCTATCTCCAAATTGCACAGAAGAAGAGTCATTTCACTAGCGATATTAGAAGAGAAAAATTGTTACCAATAAGAAAATTGTCAACCCAAAACTTGCTAATTTCAGTCACTTTGCCTCCTGCATTTGGGAGTTTTGCTCTTTCCTCCTGAAAAAAGCAGGAATTTTTAGTGCCAGCTAATACTTCTTCTATATATATTAACCTATACGCATTGCCTTGCTTACGCTCTCCCTGCTGTGCACTGACAAGACATGGAGGCAGAGTTTTTAATGGAAACATGCTACTGCTGTAGAAGAGGCTCTAGGCCTGTGCCCAGAAGCCTTTGAGAAAGGTCTGTGATCTACTGGGTTTCCCCACAGATTTCAGAACATCTGTGGGTTCAGGCAGCCTGCCTATTCAGCCATGGGTACAAACTGGATTATCTGAAGGAAGTGGGACAAACTGAAATTCAGTAAAAGTCTTAGCTCTCCCATAGCATGCTTATTACCATAAGGAATATTTTCATGGCTTAATAACATTTAAGGCTAAAGGGTAATTAGATCACTTAATCAGACTCACTGTGGATTGCAAGTTTCTCCGAGTTTCCCCCATTTACTTCTGTACTGAACCAAATAACTTTTGGTTAGAGAATATATATCCTCCAGAAAGGGCATCCAGTCTTGGTTTGAAGGCACCAGAGAGGATGAGTGTTTCATAGCATTTTGCTTCACTTTTCTGTCCTTATTTCTCATATATAATTCAACTGTCATCCACTGCTGATTGTTTTACCTGTCCCTTTAAAGTGCAGAGCTCTTTTAGTACCTGGTATTTTTTGTTTATTATGGTGTTTCAATATACTAATCAGAACATAGCTTTCTGTAAGTCTGTTTTTTTCTTTCTTCTGGTCCTTAATTTCTGTTGGTCATTTTTGTGCCATCTTCAGTTAATTTCAAATCCTGTAAAAAAAAATATAGTAGAAATGTACCTACTATTTTAGGATCACTCTCATCCATTCCACACACAAATGTAAAATATTTTCTGTACTTCTTCCTTTAGTAAATGCATCAAAGAATGACAGTACTCTTCTAACTCTATCAGTGTGATGGGTTGACCTTGGCTGGATGCCAGGCACTCACCAAGCCACTCTATCACTCCCCTTCTCATCTGGACAAGTGAGAGAAAATGTGATGAAAGGCTTATGAGTCAAGGCAAAGACAATGTGTCACTCAGCATTCGCCATCACAGGCAAAACAGACTTAACTTGGGAAAATAAATTTTACTTATTACCAATCGAATCAGAATAGGATAATGTGAAATAAAACCAGATTTTAAAACCCCTTCCCCCACCCCTCCCTTCTTCCCGGGATAAATTTCACTCCCAAATTCCTCTACCTCTTCCCCCTAAGCACAGGGGGATGGGAAATGGGGGTTATGGTCAGTTCATCACATGTCTCTGACTCTCGTTCCCTCTCAGGGGTGGGTGCATCATGGAGCTGTCTGTCACTGGTCTGTCAGACATGGGAGAAGCTTCTAGCAGCTTCTCACAGAAGCCACCCCTACAGACCCCCCCAGTACCAAAACCTTGCCATGTAAACCCAAGAAGTCAGCTGAGGTTGAACTTCTTGTTCGCCATGACCTCCAAAGTTTTTTTCAGAGAGTGCTTTTCAAAATACAGTACTTTTTGTGTAGCTCTAGCTTTGTGCCTTATTTTTGGCATATACCATTTATTAAAATGCATTTTCTTTGATTAAAACCTGGTAATACTTTTTATTTAGAATTCTTCGCTCTTTTGGTCATACACGTATGTTGCCAACATTTATGTAATAATTAGTCCCAGAGCATTTTCAAAATACTAAGTTGCTTTAGACTTAATCTTGGTCTTTTCAAATATCTTTTGATGATTATTATGCCTCATTTTCAGTGAGTTCAACATGTATCCACCACTATTAATTATTATTATTTTAGCATCAAATAGGTTAAACTAAATACATGAACATCTGTAATTTGAAAAGGAAGTATTAACTGCCATCTCTCCTGTCTAGGTCTAGAATTATAGCTTGTTATGAACAACAGATTTATTTTTTAAATGTCTCATTATGTTTTTAGAAATTGAGTTTAAGGAGGGTGAAACACAGCATTTTGTGGAGATTGAAGTTCTCTTTGATGGAGTGAGAGAGATGAGAGAAGCCTTCACTGTTCACCTGAAGCCTGATGAGAACATGGTTGCAGAAATACAGGTAACAAACTCATGCAAAGTACTCAACAGCAAAATTTTATAAACAATACTTCTTGGTTTCTGGCCTATAGCTTTGCTCTTCTTTTAGGGTTTATACATGCCATCTTGGCTTGTATTTTAAAAGACAAAGAGGATCAGCACAGCTGATAGAGTAGCACCTACCCAAAAGAGTTTGTTGGCAAGGCATGATTCAAGAAAGCTGGGACCCAAGGTTAAAGGGTTTGGTATCTTCAGTGTTGTGAAAAGAAAGAAAGTAATTTTTACTCTTGCTTTTGTAGTCTGCTTTATGTTTTCCAGTGCCTCAATCCTTTCTCAATAGCTCATCCTATTGAGGTTTTAGAACTTCTTTTGGGACAATATTTTAAAGGTTACACCTGATCAAGGTCCATTTTGAATCCCTTTGTTTATTTAAATGTTCACAGAGAACCATTTCTGCCTTTTCATTGCCAGACAGCCAAGGCCATTGTTTACATTGAAGAAATAAACAGCATGGCAGATGTCACCTTTCCCTCTGTCCCTCAAGTTGCATCCCTTTTGATATATGATGATACTTCTAGAGCCAAAGACAAAACCAGTCCCATAGCCGGCTATCCTGTTGTCTGTATCACAGTGAGTATCTCTGTGGAAAGATGGAACAAATTTAGTATATGATTTTTGCTCAGTGGATTTTAGGCACCCAGTATCAGTCCATATTGTTGTGAGCCACAGGTGAGTTCAAGCTAGAACTGTCACAAGAGCTAATCTAGTTTGTCTGGATAATTAATCAATTTTCAGTAGGACAAAAAGCACAGAAAGATATTTTGCTTCTTCATCACTAAGAACAGTTTGATGCTCACACTATGTCTATGATTGCATGATCTCACTATTACCTGCATTATCTTAATTTGCAGAGTTAAAATCACTAGAGATAACCAATAAGCCATTGTTTTTAATAAGTGACACAGACTGGAAGATGAGTTGAAGTACCACAGGCTTCTTTCATTGTAATTTTGCAGCTGAAAGCTTTGCATGAAGAAGGTTTTGGTCCATCTGTGTCTTTGGCTTGTTTCTCACACCATTCCTTTCACACAGGAATGGATCATATGTTGAATGTATCTCCCAAATAGAAATCAATAACAACAACAACAAAAGAGAAATCTTGAAATGCAAAGTATATTTGCAGAATTAGACCAAAGTGCAAAATTCAAGTTAAAGCAGCATGTGGAACTGTAGTTTGTGCCTTCGTAACTCTGTTAGAATTTCACCCATAAACCATAATTTAAAATAGTATTTTTATTTCATTAAGAATAATTAGACCTGCCTTTTAATCTACCACAAGCATGCTTAAAGTGTCAGTGTCAAAATAAAGTGATTTCTTAAGAGATTTGCTGGGGTTGTCAGTTCTATGTTGTTGTTGAGCTTTGTGATCTTGATAAATTAAAATTCTTGTGCCATGAAAGCAGTAAATTGTTAACATATCTTGTTCTGCAGGCTTGTAATCCTAAATATGAAGACTTTGACAAGACTGGTTCTATATGTGCCAGTGAGAACATCAATAATACTCTGACACAATACCGGTGGCTTGTAAGCGCACCCACTGGTCCTGATGGTGTGACTAGCCCCATGAAGGAGATTGACTTTGATACCTTCTTTACTTCCTCCAAGATGATTACACTTGACTCCATTTACTTCCAAGCTGGTTCTCGAGTCCAGTGTGCGGCTCGTGCTGTGAATTCAGATGGGAATGAGGGTCTTGAGCTTATGAGCCCTATTGTAACTATAAGCACATCAGAAGGTAAGGCATCATTACCTATTGCAAAACCCCCAGACCTCTTTTTGATCCCAGATTCTATCATAACAAAATTTGATTACATAACCAGCTGTTTTAACATTACCATCTTGGCTTTTCTTCTGTTGTCCATAGAGATTGTGCAAACACTTTCTTCTTAGCACAGTAGGGAATTGTAAAAAGAAAATGTTTTTTAACTTTGGTAGTTGCCCACATCCTTGAATTATTAACCACATAGCAAACTTGCATGTTCAGTAGAACAGTATATAATGTGCACTGGCATTAATGAAGCCTTGTTTCTCTTGAATTTTGAATTCAACTGTAGTAACCTTGCAGTACAATCTCAGCTCCTGTTAGACACTGGAGAACCCATGTGGGAGTGCTCTTGCGAATGCCTAGCCAGAAGAAAAGCTCCATTTGGCATTCAGGCCTCACTGGCCTCAGTCACTGGACTCCTGATACTCAGTGTCTTCCTTGACTAAGGTCTGATGTCCGATAACAGGGCATAGACAAATCTTTTCATGGTTGAGGTATTCATAATATTTAGCCTTCTTTTTCTGATTCCATCTTTGTCTCTCTCTGATTGTCTGATACCAAATCAGTACTGAATTGTTGCTGCATTCCCTCAGCCAGCAGTTACTGCAATTTGCTTCCTTTGCCCAGCCAACTCTTTTCATGAAACTCTTACTGAGTAATGTTGTGAAGCAGAGGTGAAGAACTGATATGCACAAAGTACAGTCTGATAGCATATGCTATTTTGTAGTAGAAGTCACAGATACTTTTGTTTATTGTATAACGTGGAGAATGAGTAATCAGCAATTACAGACCATTGTATTTTATTACCCTTTTGCTGCCGTTTTACGTTCTTTGTGTCATCTCTGCTGCTTTTATATGTACATTAAGTCTTCTGGGTTTTGTGAGATCTTACAGTTGATAAATTACATGATTTTTCATCTGAAACATAATTTTAATTTCCTTGGCCTTTCCAACTAAATATTGTTAACATTTTATTTCCAACTAAGTTGGGGCTTTAATGAGCTTAATGGATGGATTTTCTATTTATTATATTCCTGTCCTTTATTCCACATTTTGACTGTAGACTCAAGTTGCCTTTGTTTGTGCTATCAGGAATCCTACAAGCCAAAAAGGACAAGGCTAATTAACTCAGGCTCAGGACTTAATTGTCATGCATATATTGCTTCCAGTACCAAAGCTAATTTATGATGCGAAAGTCAACAACACTGAAGATCATGTACAATAAAAAGGAAATTATTAGATGCTATTTTGAAAAAAGTGCAATGCTCAAAGCAACCTGCCAAAATCCAGTGTATTTTGAGCTTTGAAGATGCTTTACCTCCAGTGCATAGACCAAATTCTCAGAAGTCAGATTGTGCAAAAAAAAAAATGTATTTAGCCTCTTTAGTACATCTTTCTTGCATTTAAGAAAAACAAACAAACAAAGCTATTGTTTGCAGAATAGAATTTATTTTTCATCATGCCAGAAGTTTCCAACTTGAAGTGTTGAGACAGATGAGGCCCACCAAAACTGATAAATTCTCCAGGAGGAGAGCCCTGCATTCTCTTTCTTGTAATCCCTCACAGACAGGCAAAGAGCAGAACATGGGTGAAGGAAACTGGTGATTTTCCACGTCTGCTGGTTTCTTTGGCCATCACATGTCAATGTGCTATGATTCTTGTGGCCAGAATGCAGATGCTTCTACATTGAACTATGCAACCAGAAGTTGCATATATATCAGATCATATTATTGCAAGCCTAATCTGGTCCTACAAACCAGGACTAATACTGGAACAGGTTGAAATAATACTGGAACAGGTTGAAATAACACTGGAAAGGATTGCCAAAATGTTATAAATTCTTCTTTCTTGGAGAAATTAAAAATTCAACTGAACAAGGCCTTGAGCAACTTGATCTGACTTTGAAGCTGCCTTTACTTTGAGTATGGTATTTCTAAACATCCTTTGACACAATTATTCTACAAAATTCTACATTTTGGTCACTAATGAAACAGGAGGCTCATGGATTTCTGTGAAGCTATGTATAGGTCCAAATCCCAATCCTGGGCCAAAACAAGCTGAACACTGATCAGGTATCTTTTGTAAAGCTATGTATGTGCTTAAGAGGGTGGGAGGAATTAAAGTGTATGCCTCTGAGAATCTCTGTAAGAAAGTATGGCACTTGACACTGACTTTGCAAGCATGCTTGATACATGCAACTGAAAACGTACAGGTGCAGTATCATCACCTGTTTCTGAAAATGTGGTCCAGTTGATCTGGATGATTTCTATTTGAATCCTCTTTTGCATTAATTCCTTTTCAAACCTCTGGTAAATGCTGCTGAAAAGGGTTTACCTGTTGTTGAAGAAAATTCTCCTTGTTTTGGGAACTTGTACAGTGAGAAAAAGTACATCTAAAAATAGTGCAAAGGAAAGTATAGATTATAACCTCTGGACATAAAATAAAGTTATTTTCTCTTTTTTCCATCAGGTCTTTGTCAGCCTCGTGTGTCAGGAGTAGTTGGAGCAGAACCCTTCTCTGCCAAATTGCGGTATACTGGCCCAGAAGATCCTTATGCCAACTTTATCAAATTGACAGTCACAATGCCACATATTGATGGTATGATATAATCAGCTAATCAACTGTGGAGTTGAGAGAATTCATAAAACAAGCTGTTATTTGAGCTATTTTATTGGTCATGTTATTTTAAATAGCCATGTGGGACCAGAGAAGAGCTTGATATATGTACAAGTGCAGTTTGCAACAAGGTGCATAACATACTGTGTTAATGCATAGTCTTTGATCTGAAGACTGTTTTCAGATTAATTGCATAGTTTACAGAAGTTTGGCTAAGTCTACACTTTATAAAACTCCTTTGAAACGCATACAGATATATCAAAGAAGAATTTATTTATGAAAAGACATAAAGCCATTTAATTACTATGTGTCTCTGAAAATTATCACAAATCCTGACTGAAAATTATGTTGCAGATTTAGAAATGTTATATTTGGCATTCATATTACAAAGACACAATTATTGTGGAGAAGTCTCATGCACACATAGCTTATCAACTTTCTCTGAATTCTAAAGTCCGTTAATTGCTGTATGTGCAAAATACAGAATCACTGCATAGCTTGCTTAGTGTTTGACAAACTTTGGCTAAATTAAGCAGCTCTGAACAGTGAAATTTAGTTATAGTGCTACAAATTAATGTTTTTTAGGCATGCTGCCTGTTATTTCTACAAGAGAACTCTCCAACTTTGAGCTGACACTTAGCCCTGATGGAACTAGAGTCGGAAACCATAAATGCTCCAACCTGTTGGATTACACAGAAGTGAAGACCCACCATGGTTTCTTAACTGATGCTACCAAAAATCCAGATGTGATTGGAGAGACCATTCCGTATCAGTACAGCCCAATAATTAGAGGATTTAATACCTTGCGCTTCTACCGCAATCTGAATCTGGAAGCCTGTTTATGGGAGTTTGTTAGCTATTATGACATGTCTGAGCTCCTCACAGATTGTGGAGGCACCATTGGGACAGATGGACAGGTATGAGGCTGTAACTTGATTTTTTACTATGTTCTTACAGTGAAACGTTTCCTTGATAATGTGTCTATGCCTATAGAAATAAGTGGGTTTAGAATTAATTTAGTTGAAAAGTAGTTGTTTTTTCTTTCTTGGACTTCCCCCAAAGTTAGTTTGTTTCTTAAAGCTATTAATATTCATTAAATGTTAATAGGCTATATGTGAAATTTGTGTCTGATTGAAGTTAAGAGAATAATTTAGTCTGAAGGAAATTTACTGTGATTTTCTCCCAATAAAATTTTGAAGTATTTTAGGACAAATCAATCCAACTTTTACTGTATAGTGAGCCACCTTAGTCTTTTCTTAGAATAAAAGCCTAAAGGATTGGTTTTACCATATTTATACTATTGGGATATATATATATATACACACATATATATAGATACAGAAATACACTGAATTACTATTAATCATGGTGTATCTTTAAAAAGAGTTTAAAAAAAATTGTGAAGACCCTTCTTGCTGATAACAACTGACTGCAATGTCCTACCAGGTGCTTGCCTCTGCTCAGCTCTTGCTCACTGGGTAACAAGACCAGTCAGTGCAGACAGCACAGTAGTCTCGCATTACTCAGCAAAAAATTCCTTGATCAGGAAGCAAAGAGAAACTGCCAATACAGAATGTCTGAAGAACAGACCTGTGAAAGTGGTTGGGAGTTAAAACAAAGAGACTGAGGACATCTTCAGGTGTCCTTCGGAGAATTATTTCTAGAAATCCATAATAATGTGGAAGCAAAAAGATTTTCTTCTGGTGCAGTGATAGTGATGCTAATCCCTTATATTAACTACTGTCTGATCCCACTCAGGCTCTAAAGTACAAAAGCTATGAAGATCAATCCTTTATGACACAGAAAAATCTTTTTTGGGAATAATCATACAGGCTGGAAGAAAGACTGTAAATTCAGTACCTCATTTCAGAGAAGTCTATCCATGGCATCATACCTGTGTGGTAAAGATACATCACTTTCCTGGCTCTCTTTGAAGCCAATGTGGAGAGGATGAGGCCACTGTGAAATGGCCATAATTTCTCAACTTTGTAACAGATGTTCATTTTGCCAAGGACCCTTCTTATCAGACCTCAGTATACTTATATACACAAATTCTTATTTTTGTCAGTCCCAAATGATATGAGGCCTTAACAGATAAGAAAAGTGTATCATTGTTGAAAGGAACCTATGGGCATGTGCAACAGCAAAGCTATTCTACTGCTAAAAGCATAGGTGTCAAGGGACATATAGCTAGCTAATCAGATAAGTTTTTCTCTCTGTTTTTAAATTCTTTTTCTCTTTTATACTTACACACCTAAAGTCCACCTTCCTGTGTGAGTGTCCACAGGTGATCATGCAAGAAATTGCACCAGGCTCTCTTTAGACCTCGGTTAACTTCCTAACATTTTACCCCTTTAACTAGAGATTATATATTCTGTAAATTATAAGACGATAACAAAATGGAGCTTCTGTCCCTCTTAGATACAAAGTCTGTGGTGGATCTGTCATCTCAGTGCTCTATCATAAGTTCTGACTCCTGTTTGTTATAGTGACCAGTTCAAGATCTCTGTCTTGATTCTGGAAGCTCTCTGTTGGTGCATCTGCTTGGGGTTGCCCCTCGGCTACAAGCAGATCCTCCTACAGGTGCATTCCACTGAAACCGTGTACCTCTCAGAGGGAAGGCATGCATGTGTGGGATGTAAACCTTACACATTCCCACAAGATAAAAATGACAGCAGTCTTCACTGTTCTAGAAATTATTTAATGTCTTCAACTCATCATTCCTTTTACTATCTCTTTATGCCCATGCAATATGCAGCCGTATATTATTTCCCACACACACAATCATAAGCATATAAGCACACACAGCTGCCAAGCAGCTGCAACTCCGATCCTGTGAGCTATGCAAGCCACTTCTGCCACAGTGAAAAGGAAGACTTGATATGAGCCCTTTCCATTTTATATACTTTTGCATCCTTTACAGAAAAGCTTGAATAGCTGGTTTAGGCAAACGTGTGTCTAAATAAAACCTAAATATGTCTATATGCATGTAAACAGAGGAGAAAATAAGCACTATTACTATATTTTAGTAAATAAAAAGACCTCATATTCGATTGTGAAGGACATGTATAAATGGTAATGTGACCAAGAAAGATAGTTCTACTTGCTTTAAGCTCTAGAAGTGTTATGTACTTTAGGTAAGATCATTCGTTTAAAAGCAGAAAGAGATGAATGTGAGCTATGAGAGCCATTAAACTGCAGCTGAAGTCATCCTTTAGCGTCTTGTAGGTTATGGCTAAAAGGTTACAGTGTGTTAAGTGAAATATCAAGCTGAATTACTTCTAGCAGCAAAGCATTGCCCTGAAGCCAGTATGCGCTTCACTGCCTTCCCTGTTTCCCCACCTCCATTTAATTCTTCTCCAGGTTTGGTCTTTATCTTCACATGACCCCCTCCAGCTGAGAGGGGAGGCAGTCAGTGCCCTGTCTCTGTGGTTGTCACCATTGTTGTTTTTTTCTCCTTCAGTGAACAATTAATAATCCTCCTCTGTGACAGTAAAGCTGGCAGCTATGGTTTTCACCATGGTTTTTTAGTATGCAAAGGAAGCTTAAGTTCTAATATACAGACAGAACAGATATATTAAAAACCCCACTCTTATGACATCCTGCTACCATTGCAAATTTAATAGCTTTAATTTACCAGATATTTTGGCTAGATCTTTAAGCTCAAAATTATTTTTCTTGATTCTAAATCTCAGGTACCTGTATGGTCAAACAAAGACAGCACTGTCAACTCAGAGAAAGATATTTCACAAAAGAAACTGTCAATATATTGTGTGATGTGGACCTCCACTTTATGGGTGCTCTTCCTATGCTAGGGGAAGAGCTTCAGTCAACAAGAAGTGAGTTCAGAGACCTGCAGCTGGTGTAGCAGTGCTCATACTTTACTGCAAGCTGCAGCTGTCTTAGCCAGTTCCCATGAACTCATGAACTGTCATAATACATACAGAGAAGGTCTTAGTTATTGGTTGTTTTTTTTTTTTTTGCTCCCTTTGAGGCCTTTTGCTTGTGACCCGTTCTCTTTCTCAATTACTCTGTGCATGAGCAAATCCTGTGTGAGTTAGATGCAGCACTCTTTTCAGTATCCAGCTTGATGCTTTGTTCCTGGGGTCTGTCCTTATTCACCACATCTGAGAAATCAGGCACTTAGGTATCTAAATATGGATTTAGATGTGCAGCTTAAAGAATGTATATTTAAAAATAAAGACCTAGTCCTCTTTAAATTGAGCTAGTTCTTTTGTATTATAGTTCTGTTTTGGTTAAAGTTAAAGTAAGATTTTATAATTAGCAGCAACAGTTTTCTTTTGGCCAACCTGCAATAAGGCTAAATTTCAGTATCTGTCTTTAAAAATGTATATGTCTTAAAAATATGGAACTCACCTACCTGAGGGCTGTCTTCCTGTATTTCCAGGTAATTAATAAAGGTTATTAGACTTTACTTCATGGGGACATGTCAAGTACTGCAGACATCTCAAGTTCTCAAGACACATGTGCTAGAACAATGCCAGATATTCATGAAACAGAATTAAAAAAGGCAATAGTGAAAACCAAGCAAACGACCATACTTTATTAAAGTATATATTGAAGTGTTGGGCTAGACTTATTTGATAGCGTGTTAAGTATCATTTGATCTCATTTCCTTCTGTTTTACCTGCTTTAGCCATACAATTTGGCACCTGAAGGCTTCTGTGTGGTTCTGGCCAAGTATCTATATGTGGATGTTGCTTTCTCTAGTCGCAGTCTCTTGCCAGACTTGGCATAGGGAAGTAAGGAAATTGCCATTTAAAAACAAATTATTAACAAGAACTAATTAAGCAATTCTTTGACAGAAACAAGAAGGTGAAGAACATATATTAAAATACTTAAATGTACAGCTCGAGACCTTGAAGCTACTTTATTTGAGTAGTTGATCAGTTTAGTTTGCTCTCTAATGAAAGCGGTTATTTCTGGACACAGCTGAAAACATCATTCTTCCAATACGTTCAGTTCACATTTATGCTACACGTTACGGCACTGGATGTTTGAAAATCCCATTGGAAAGCAAATTTTTAAATTACCAGTGTGTTTCCACAGCTTCTACGAGGCAGCTCACAGTTTTTATTACACTGAAACAGTATCCTTCCAGCTTTAATAGTTCTAGTTTTACAAAAATCATACTTTAAGGGGAAAAGTCAGCTCTTCTGAAAATCTCACTAGATCTGTAAAATGGAAATAGACAGAAATGTCCATTTTCTTATTTTTATGTTCTGTTCAGCTGCCACAGTCAAGTTTAAGAGAACCCTGCAGCTTGTATTCTCTTGACATGGAAGCTTACTAATAGCCAAACCCTTTTTCTCCAGCTGCAAACACATGCATTTTGTGAGCACTGTGAAGAAAAAACTCCACTGTAAAGTTAATGCACCAGCTGTGTAGCAAAGTCAGACGTTAACTTTTTTCAAGGAGCTGGCATTTCAAAGCTGCATTGCGTTCTCCTCTCCATTCAGACTTCTTTAAAGAAACCTGCTTTACGTTTCACCTGTGATCTACCTGGCTACATGCCTTCTTGGGGCCAGATCTTAGCTTTACCATATTGGTATTGTGTAAACAGTTAATTGATAACGTTGTTAATCTTGTGTGACTCAGATTCACAGACAGAACAAGTAAATACAACAGAATATGAGGCTCAGGACAGTTTAGAAGGCAAAAATACAGTTTTTAGGAAAAGTTTATTTCATTGGCATATACAATAGAAAACATGAACTTGTGTTATTTCTAGTTTCTGATTCTGGTTTTATCAGTACCTACATACAGTGTGCACATGCAAAAAACTGCCTAACTCTGCCTTCTGGAAATGTAGGCCAGATAAACAAAACATAATATAAATGTAGAACAGAGTCCAGATCCCAAAGCCTTAACTGGAAATATTTTTTTTATGTTGTAA